GAAAGCGTGCCGTAAGTGTCCTCTGGGTGAAGTAATAAGGATGGTAACTCAGAAATGCATTGTCATTGCTTAACAAAGTGTAGTTGATGGTATTGTTGGCTTTAGCGATGAGAAGATTTTGATGCTGAGCAATTACCTGTAAAGGAACACCATTTGAAAATATGTGAGTTATTATGTTAGTTCAGTAAAACAGGTATTCCTCTTCTATTTTACCTTATACTCTTTTATCTTTATTTTATCTTACCTACTATATTTTATTCTATTGTATCTCACCATAGCTATTTGATCTCATTTTACTGTATTTTACTGTGGCTGATGCTCACATTTGATATGGTCAATTGACTAATCAATACAGTATATTGTAACAAGTAATAGATGTAATTTTCACAGGAGGCTTTTCAAGATTTTTGACAGCAAATCCACTGCAGGACGAGGTCACCAATCTAACCTGCTGCCCTTCAAATGTATTTGGATAACAATTTTCATCATCCACAACCAGGTTAGGAACGTTTGAAGGCACTAGGTTGGGAAAGGGTGATTTGCATCTCCCATATGAAATTATATAGTATATAAATCATGGCTATGAGTATTCTGTATTCAATAAAAATTTGCAACAAAGCAGCTCAGATTATGAAATGCATATATAGTAAAGATTTGCAATATTTCCTCAAAATCTGCATGCTTTATTTTGTATGAATACTATTTAGTGTATACTTAGCAGAATTCAGCCTCCTTTGGGTTGCAATATGGAGAAATACGGCACTGTGCAATGCACTGAAACTCCAAAGTTATTTATTAGTATAAGATACAGTTTATAAATTGATTAAATAAGTAAATGGTTTGTTTCTTTTGGCTACTAGGAATTCAACAGGTATTCGGCATATGTTTTCAAGTATAATGCTGCAACAAGGGAAAAAAAACAGAAGTTGTTTCAGACAGTTAAAAGAAAAGTTGAAGTTTTCAGCTGTGTGCTGGGTCAAAAATCCTCTTTCATACTTTTGCAGTCTTCCTTAAAAAGCATATACATATACATAGCTGAATACAAATATTTCATATTGGGATTACTGTACAGCTTTCATTTTTTTCCTGCCTCGGTTCTAATTCCAAACAGATGACTGTGCTGTAATTTATCTCTGCCTATAGAAGAAATTAAACCCAGGATCACTGTGACAACTTGAAAACAAGAAAAGTACTGTAACATGTTAGCATCAGGGTCTACTAAGTTAAGCCTTTCCAATAGCTTAAATTGACCTAATTCCCTAGCCAGCTAAAATTAGGAATTTAAGAGGAGGATTGCGACAGCATAACTAATCAGATGTAGAAGGATTAATGTTCCACACCAAAATACGCACAAAAAAGCAGATTAGCGCTTAAGAACACTGAGTTGTGCAGAAAGGAGTTGTATAAAACTGCATTTAAAATCACAAAAGG